AGAAGAAAAAAGAAAGAAAAATAAAGAAGGAAAATTTTAAAAAAAATAGTTTAAAAATTCACAAGACACACATTCGTTGTAATCAGGGCTGGACCTTAACAATGAGGTCAACAGCCCCAGGCCTGCCAGAACAGCCAGGTTTTAACAGCTTTCCTGAATGCCATGAGAGTGGGTAGGGTCCGGATCTCTGGGGGTAGCTGATTCCAAAGGGTCGGAGCAGCCACAGAGAAGGCTCTCCTCCGGGTGCCCACCAGCCGACACTGTCTGGCTGACGGCATCCGAAGGAGGCCCAATCTGTGGGATCTTACCAGCCGCTGGGAGGTATGTGGCAGTAGGCGGTCTCGCAGGTATGCTGGCCCTAAGCCATGTAGGGCTTTAAAGGTAATAACCAACACCTTGAACTTGCTTTCTTTTTTGTTAAAATGTATAATGAATATGCACAATGGATGATAAGCAGAAAAAGGTACCATGTAGTTCTATTACAGAGGCACGTAAAGTTAATATAGGAAAATCACTGCTCAGAGTGGGAATCAGAACTGCAAAGAATTTCCTCTTCTGATTAGTTTTCAAAGAAGCCTCTGCTTCAATGATTACCTGTATTGTATTTCCCTTCCCACTTTTTCCCTATTGTCAGTTACATCCTACTCCCTTCCTCACCATCTTTGAGTTATTATTTTTTATTTTATTAAGGTGTGTACGTGGGTTTGTGGCTTTTGATGTTGTGAGCTGCTTTGTGGCGAGAGGGGATGGCCAACAAATTTAATAAATAATAATTAAGAAATATTTCTACCCAAGGATATTCTTGAGATTTGGAAGAAAAAAAATGTTATCTCAAATTATTTTTTTAAATACCTATCAAAATGAGATACAAACAATGAATTGAATGATAGGCTTTAAAAGAAGCCAGTTTCCACTATTCAAAATATAGATCTTCGTTCCTTTTTATGTGCATAGTGCAGAAAGATCTGTCAAATACTTTGTGCATCTCGATCTAGAAATAAATTATTACAAAAAAAAATATGTTTTAAACCAAAATCTTCTGATGTACTTTTCACCAATTCAGTACTAGAATGATATAGTGGGAAAACTAAAGGCACTTTATGCCTCACAGAACGATTTCAAGGTAAATATTATATATTTAAAACTCCAGAAAGATGTACATTCCCAGGGAAATTCAGCTGTAGGAATATCTAATAAATTATTAAGGTTTCTCCCCCCCCAACAAAAAAATTGTTCACGTGTTGTGACATTCCAAAAGATTGTGTTTGTTAAATCGATTCCTGTCCCTTTCTATTTGCAGAAACTTTGTTCAACATTTTATTGATTTTCCAAAGCCATTAATTGCTGTGGTAAATGGGCCAGCGGTTGGGATCTCTGTAACTGTGCTTGGCCTGTTTGACATTGTATACGCTACGGACCAGGTAAGTTTTCTCTCTTTAATTCCTTTCACTATCATTAGATCATTGTGGACACACCGTATTTTTCGGAGTATAAGACGCACCAGAGTATAAGATGCACCAAGATTTTGAAGAGGCAAATTTTTTTTAAAAAAGTTTTTGCACTCTGCAAACCTCCCCAAAACGGCCCGTTTCCCCCCCCCCCAAAAAAAGGGTATGAATATCCCTTAAGAGGCTTCCTTGGGGGGGGTGACAAGCAAAAAAGGCCCGTTTTTCACTAAAACGGGCCCATTTTTTGTCAAAAAAAAGGGGGGCATTAGGAAGCTTATAGAGTGCTCCTGGGGGCTTGGAGGATCAAAATTGAGCAAAAAATGGCTCAGATTTTGCTCATTTCTGCCCTCCCCAGCCCCCAGGAACTCTCTGAAAGCCTCGAACAAGCTATGCACAGCCATAGTGCGCCGACAAAACCGCGGCGAGAAAACCGCGACGTCGAAATCGCGCCCACAACAGTGCGCCCACAAAACCACAATTAGGGTTAAGGTAAGGGTTAGGGTTAGGGTTAGGGTTAGTTTAAATGTTGTACTATAAATGGATCACCAAAGTTCATACTTAGAGCTAGAGTTTTTAATCATATCATTTGAAAATGAAACAGTTATATTCTTTCTTCTAAGGAAAAATAAAGTATGTTAACAATATTTCTTTCTCCCATAGGCTACCTTTCATACTCCTTTTAGCACCCTGGGTCAATGTCCAGAAGGATGCTCTTCATACACATTTCCCAAACTCATGGGGTTAGCTAAGGTAGCATATGAACATTTTATCTGCTTGATGGTTGATTTAGGAAAAAAAATGCTCTTAGATTTTGTTCAAGAAAGAATACAAGTTAGAAATGAATTATTTCTAAATAAATAATACATTTATGTAATGATGGGCACTTACGTGCCATATGGGGGTATGGTCAGGTCTGTATTTTAATAACATTTTAATATTCAGAGCAGTTAGCTGACAAAAATATACGAATGCTGTAATAATATCACAGGGAACTGCCTTGTCACATATCAAAACTGCTTCTTGATCAGTCCTGTTCAAATGGCCAATGTTCCCTCTAATTTTTTTTCAGTGTGAGCAGAAAAATATAGTGTTCGAATGGCACATTTTCATGCCTGAGCACCTGAATTTTTTTCACAGATGTCCCCTAAGACAACAACGAAATCAGTATTATTTGAAACTCAAAAGTTATGTTTATTCAAAATATCTGCTTAATTAAAAGTGTTACATAATATCAGTATCGCTTAACAACGCTCCTGCTCAGCAACCAAAATGTTGGCTCAGAAACTCTGGCATTTGAAGCACGCAAGTCTTAAAGCTGTCAAGTTACAAGACCTTTGCACCCCTAACCCTTTAGGAAAAAAAACCCCCAGGGGTGTTCAAAGTTGACAGCTTTAAGACTTGTGGACTTCAACTCCCAGAATTCCTCCTCCAGTCATGTTGCTTTTTCGCCTCGGCGCCGCTCTGGCTATCTCCGTCCGGACCTGGCAGCTGCAGCGATGTCATCAGCTTGGATCTGCTCTATCTTCGTTTTTTTCACCGGGGGCCTCTCAGACCACCTGAGCTGAGCACTGCGTTACCCCTGCCGCCGCCTCCTCTGCCGTGCTTTTGAGAAGCCATGAGACCTTTTTTTTCCTGCTCCTGCCCTCCGCCACCTTCCTACTGGCTCCCACAATAGCACCGCCGTCGGGTTCCTCCTTGCCACCTCACCTTTGACAGCGCTCCGGCGCCCTTTTCCCCTCCCGTGGTCGGTCCGCACCTGCCATCCAGCTCCCGCCCCACAGGAAAAAAAGGCATCATGGCTCCTCAAAAGCACGGCGGAGGAGGAGGGGGCAGGAGTAAAGCGGGGCCCAGCTCAGGTGCTCAGAGCGGAGGGGGAGGTGCCATTGCCACGGGCAGGGGCGCCAGCAGGAGCTTTGGCAGTTTCACCTCAGCCGCAGCGCCGGGTGCAAGCGGCTAGGACTGGCTGCCCACAAAGGACCTCCCTGGACTTGCTTTGGTGAACACGGGGCGACTGACGGTAGTTTGAGCCGGCACGGCCGGTGCAAACTACCATCAGTCGCCCCGTGCTCATCAAAACAAGTTCGGGGAGGTCCTTTGCGGGCGGCCAGTTCTAGCCGCCAGCAAAGGACTTCCCCGCCCTTGCTTTGCTGAACACGGGGCGACTGATGGTAGTTTGAGCAGCGCAGCCAGCGCCTAGGAGATCCTAGGAGACCGGCCGTGCTGCATATGCTCCTGCCGCCGTCCCCCGTCCACCCCCCTGCGCCCATGCTAACCCTAACCAGGACAGAAAATCTGAGGCCCCCTCAGCTTCCGGAGCCTGTGACATTAGAAATCACTGCGCGGCAGTTGGAAACTGCTGCGCGGTGTTTTCTTGCCACGTGCGCGGCCGCGCAGCCGCGCACCTTAGAGGGAACATTGACTCCTACACTGCCTATCAAAGTCAGTGGGTAGATGTCAATGACTGAACGTGAATGATACACTGACGTGTTCTTCTATCCCTTATATGTAACAAATGCACTAGAATTAGTGGAAAGTCAGAATGAGCTCTTGTTTCTTTTCTCATTTAATCAGGCCACCGAAATGCTGCTTTTCAACAAGAAGCTAACCGCTGCAGAAGCCTGTTCGCAGGGACTTGTAACTGAGGTTTTTCCTGACAGTACATTCCAGAAAGAAGTGTGGGCAAGGCTGAAGGCTTATGCCAATCTTCCTAAAAAGGTTAGTGTTAGCAAAATTGCTTATCTAATGAATTAAACTTTAAAGCATAGGTTAAAAATAGGATTTGCAAGAAACCCAGCAGAACGCATTCTAAAATAGTAGTAAATAATAATAGGGCAAGAACCTACAACCTATGTAGCCCAAGTGAGTAACAGTTTAATAGAAGAGAACCTCACCAAGAGAGGACAAGAGGTTAATAACCATCCCAAACCAAAATAGATTCATTTTTTTTAAATTTTAAACGCACTCTAGGAATTAAAAGGAAATGTAGCGAGAGTATGAGGGTTCCACCACAAATGCACGAATGACAAAAGCTCGCCTCACTAAACCGCGGTGACAAAACCGTGCCGACAAAACCGCGCGACGAAGGAGCGACGAATGAGCCCTGAAGCGCGCCGACAGAAGCACGCTGTAACCTAACCCAAAACCTAACCCTAAACCTAACCCTAAACCTAACCCTAAACCTTACCTTAACCCTAAACCTAACCCTA